GATTTTTGAAGAAGGTTTTAATGGAGATGAAGATATTGAAAAATGTTACAAGTTTTCTTATGAATGCATGCATGCACTTCAGAAAAATCCTAGGTATATCTCAAATGAATTGCATAAATCTTTATATATAAAATCATTCTTCTTGAGTAGATTTAAATTTTGAATAATTTAAAAATTTTGAATAATTTAAAATGTCTCATCTTCCTCAAAACATTATTGTAAATATAAAATTTATAACCAGTGCTCTCATGATCTAGCTAGCACCACCATTACAATTACAAAAATTAACACTACATAGGCATTTTGCCGAAAGTGGAATTTTTCGTTTAGTGAAAATAGTAAGGAGAGTTTCAAAGAGGATAAAAGGAAAAAATAAATTGGTAATTTGCACAACCTATTAATATGGAAAAATTGGATTCTAAGGATTGAATAGCATTTCTCTTGACGCTTATCGTTTTATTGATGGCTCTTCCTATTTGGTATCATTATTATTATTATTATTATTATTATTATTATTATTATCTGTGCCGACAGAAATTAAAAAATGCTACAGTTGAAGGAACAAAGGACGATACAAAATCACCCTTCTTCACAATGGCAGTGCCAGAATTTGACCAAAATTCAAAATTGACTGTTGAAAATTTTCCACAATGGTTGGTCTTTAATAGGCGCGGGCGAATAGTTTGGGCTGGGCTCAGTAAAAGTATCTGAAGCTAATAGGCACGGGCAATAAGTTGGGCTGGGCTTACTTATGTTAAGTTAACTTATGGGTAAATTCAGTCGGTAATGGTTTGTTGATGATAGTTTTGCTACCGACCTTTTTGTACAAATAAACAAGCAACACGTGGCGGAAAAAAAAATGAAATGGAGAGGAGTAAGTTACTTCGGTCGGCTCAATTAGCATACACCTACTTAAATGAAGTTTTTTAATCCATTCTACACTTGATTAAGAATAAATTATTGAGCTATTTTAAGTTAATTAGCAAGCTAAACTTTGTTCAATGTTATCTTTCTTATTATATTTTACAAATTGACTAACATACAACAAAGCAATAGGGTACACAACAAAGCAATAAGGTACACAA